ATAAATAAATATTTCTCCCTGACCAGTTTTAAAAATAATCATCACAAGAAGCCATTTTAGAGGGTTTTAAAAGGAGTGGGGGAAAGCACTGAATGAACAGAGTTAGAGAAACCTTCATATGGACCAATGGGAAAATTACTGATGGCACTAATGCGAAACCCAACACTTCTAAGAAGAAATAGTTTCTATCTGGAAGGGCCACTGGTTTAGAGCTTGCTACATTCTGAATACAGAACAATATAGATCAGTGGTTCTTAACCTGGGTGATACTGCCCCCCCGGGGGCGATTTTGTTTTTCAGGGGGGTGATGGAATGAAAAGGGGATACGCGGGGGCAAAGGAACAGAAGGGGGGTGATATGGGGGCTATGGAGCGAGCCAAACCTGCGAAGGTGGCTGCAGCTGCGGTGCTAGCAGCGGATCCGGCAGGCAGACCCAGAGCAGCTGGTGCTGGCAGCGGATCCGGTGCGGCTGCTGCCGTGTTGCCATTATGTTGGGGGAAGGGGGTGATGATAACTTCCTCAATGGCTCAACGGGGGCAATTCTTTCAAAAAGGTTAAGAACCACGGATATAGACAACTTGCACTGCACGTGGGATGTTTAAACAAACCAGCCATTTTACTCATTGTTGTTGCAGGCTTTTAACAGATCACTCAGATTTCTAAGAACAGTGCTTCAGCACTGATTTCAATAGGACTTACCTCAAAATTATGTTTAGAACTCCAGTCTTAATTAATACTCTAGTGTTATTTTTGGGCCTAGTTTTGGCTGGAAAGGAGTAAAATTTCATGGGTGGCCCTCTTTACTTGCAAACAAACCTTCTTCCCCAAGTTTCTAGCTACACCTGCCAAAAGCATAAATAGGTCAAGAAGGGGAGAGCGAGACTCCCTCCAAAAGTTTTGGAGTGAGGCATTCCCTCAATTTGAATCATGAGCATGTTGTCCCAGAAAGCTCTGTGGCTGTAAAGTTACCACCAGTGCCATTCCCACCATGATTCTCGTCACCATTCAGATAAACACAAGAAACATGTATTTACACTCGCTTTTTGTTTGATCCAAGAAACCATGTGCTAAACTAAACCTGCAGGGTAGGGTTTTTTACCTGCATAATTCATGTACACTGAGATATAGATGGGTGAAAGTGTATGCATGTGTGTATCTCTGTGCCCATGTATGTGTACTGTATATATCATAGTTAAAATAGCCAGTTGCTAACTATAAAACACTTCTAAGCTATAGAGAGTAAAGAAAACCACAACTCACATTGCAATCCTATCCATATCTACTGAAATGTACGTGTCTATTCACCGAGATATATTGACAGATAAGTATGCAAGCCCAATGTCTCTTTAATGTTAGAGACAACATTAAAATATGGCATAAAATATTGCACTCCAGTAAGATCTTACTATGTTTCTGTAACAGTACAGCATACACACCATGTGCAATATTTTATGCCATATTAAACTCTCCAGTAAGAGTTTCTGTAACAGTACAGCATACACACCATCACTGATCTTAATAAAATAATGATAGAGATGTTTATTACATTAATTTTCATCCCTTTTCTTCTTCATTGTCTTCTTAAGAGGGGAAAGTTTGTGGAAACAAGATTAAAGAAAAACCTAAATTCAAATAGCAATTGGGGGAGATAATGTAGGCAAAATGTCTGGGATAAATATTCATAGCTTTTCCTTCAATAAATACAAAAACTAGTGAATGGCTCCAACTCATGTTTCAACTCTAGACAGTCTTATAAGGTTGGAAGAAACCCAAAGAATAATCTAATCCAACCATGAGGGAGAACAGATACTTGAAATTCCTAGCAACCAATACAAAGTATTTAGGAAAAAGACAAGAGAAAAAAGGGAAATCTGGTACTTCATGGTTTCAAACAAGTTAAATGCAGATATTATGGGACCAATTCAGATCAGAGCCACAGTGCAGAAAGGAGTGGGGTAAATTTTTTCTGCCATCCCAGTTTCCAGCGATTGGGAAAATGGTGTAGATTCAACACACACTTCATGGTCTGAACCAGGACCCTCCAGAAACTGCATTTAGCATTTCAGAATATCAGAGACCTCATCACTGCTATGGTCCAGAATTCATTGGTGATTTACAGTACACATGTACAACTTAAACTGCATCATTTAGCACAGCCAATTGCCACTAACTAAAAAGGTTCAGTTGCAGAATCCATCAGGATTCTGTAATCACATCTGATTTGGTCCAAAATATTCAAATTCTTTAGCCACTTAATCAGATCTTTGCCTGCCCTGTTCAACCCATTCTAAATCTTATTACTAGATATACTAGATATTCATCCAGTCTTTCTTTAATGGCATATCAGGAAATATAGTCCATAAATAGTTGTGAGCTATTATTATTAAAATCAGGCTCAAAGATAAGTAAAAGGATAAGCAACACAAATATTTGTGAACAAAATGAAAATGACATGCTGAGCTTTTATAGCTTCACAATTTATTCACATTTCTTAAAAATGATAGGACCTGAAAAATTTCTGACACCACTGTACAGTCTTACCTTTTCTTTTGCCCCCAAGGACTTTTATTTTCTGCTTATGACAAAAGTTGGTCCAGTAGATTCAGATGATCCTGAACTCTATAAAACATGTACAACAAAAGAGGAGGTTACAAAGATGTTTTGGGCTTCACGTGTATTTTGACATTCCCACAATGCAATGCTCCTCTTGCCTACTGACTGGCAGCTGGACTACTATTAGCTTCACATGGATTAATGCATTATCCAGTAGTCATTTCGCTCAGCTTCAAATATTTTATGGACCCACAAAATAAATTTAACATTAATGTACTCCTCTGTTATTATTTTCAGGTACTAAGAATTAATATTTGATCTTCAGTATAGGAAGAAAGTACTCTAATTGTTTCGGCTTTGAGCCCATGTAAAGGGCTATGTGAAATTAATGAATCCTTCACAGGTTTACAGCTGGCTGGATATCTCACTGAGTCAGGTTTCTCGCTGTGGAGGCAAAGGCTGGGAGTTCAATTCCCCATTGTGCCTCTGCAGAGAAGAGCAAGTCTGTGTGGCCTTGGGCAATCTGCAAAGTCCCTAGAAAAAGGGAATGATAAACCAAGTCTAAATACTCTCTACCTAGGAAACCATGAAAAGGGTCATTATAAGTCTGTATTGACTTGACTTGACAGCACACAATTATTATTATTCACAGGGTTAGAGCAGAAAATATCAACGTGCAAAAATGGGTATATAGAGGAATCTTGAGAACAGAAAGTGTCTTTCCATAGTGTACACTGATAAACCTAAGATAGAACAATCATATATTGTCTTGCATTTAATCTAAAACCTAGATCCTGCTTAGAAAACCTTAACCTTTTTTTCAGGGACAGCTAGACCACTACACCGTAGCAGATGCCTCAAACAGCAGATGCTGGAAGAGGGAGTATGGAGAAGGTGTTAGGGATTGAGCAGTGTGTGCTCTGAGATCTGCTTTGTCCCTGTTAAAATAATCTGGCAAGAATAGCTGTAGTGGAGAATTTTCCATGGCCTTTGCCTGAGGTAGCAAAGTATCTTGGACCAACTATGACAGAAGGCCATAGCCACTACAGAGCAAAAGCCAAAATAGATGAGATGTAAGAGACGTCTGACTACATTCCCCAACATTGCTATGCTTACCCCCTAAAAGAAGCCACAAGGGACTCCACATTGGTTTGGGCCCACAGACTCTCCCTGATGTCATTTCTCAATCTAAATCCTGCCTCCTCAAGTTACTATGTATTTGTGCCAAAGAAATACACAGGGCTGGAGAATAGTAAGTTTAGAGAGCAAACAAGTTGAGAACATGAATCACCCTTTTGATGCAATTCAGGAATGTCACAGGTTGCTTTTGGGGATGGGAGGGGAGGGACTCTCAGGTGTCAACCCATTCAGTGGCATTAATGCTAACATGAGAAGAGATCCAGAATTTTGTAGTAGACTTATGAGAAATATGAGGTCCAATAAACAAATATGGAAGTGTATGTATGTATGTATGTATGTATGTATGTATGTATGTATGTATGTATGTATGTATGTATGTATGTATGTATAGATCAAGATTATTATATTCTGATGATTGTTTACTTCAAGATAAATATAGACTTAATTTGCAAGTCTGATGGCCAAACTAGACATTATGGAGTATGCACATTCATTCTAAGAAGCCTCTCATGTTATTTCCCCAGACATAAATGCCTCAATGAGACTATTTAGATGAGGATAATCCTAAGCAATTTCTAATATCACTAAGCTGAGAAGGGTTTGGATTCAGCAAAGGTGCAGCTGGCCTAGTGTCAGCTCAGCTGGTTCTCAGTCTGGCTGGTTAGGATTTAACCTTTAATGGGGGAGGCATGGAACTATTACAGAAACTCATGGTAACTTTCTAAGCTCTCACATTTATCCAGCAATTAGTAATTATGAGTATAAAAGCCCTTATCTTTGAGTAAACATATACTGGACTGCTATCTCAAAGTGCAGACCAAATTTTGTTAAAGCTAATAGTAAAAAATCGCCTTCTAGTGATTTTTACAGACTTTTCTTAATGAATGAGAATTTTGTCATGGGATATTGCTCTTTGCTTTTTTAATTTTTTTAAAAGTTCAACAGGATTAGGGTAAAACCTGCTGAGAGGCAACCTTTCATTTACAGTGTGTCAACAATCTGTCACACGTACTTAAAATAATTGATATCATATGGCAGGGTAACATTAAAAAACTGTACTCCCTGTGATATAATCTATGGATACCTGTTCAAAATGTATGCTGATAAGCAAGACCCTGTGCCTTTCCCTTTCAAACACAACTTGGCATTAATTAAATTGACTGAATTCAAAATATTGTGGAGTATGTATTATTTCAAGTGATTATGCTGAAATCACATATTTGATTTTTGAGTATCACAATACGAGGGGAAAAAACATGACAGAGAAGTACTGTACAAAAACATACATACAGTAGATCACTTATATGGCACTGAGTATTATCTTTACATGAGAAAGGAAAAGAAGTAACAACAAAATACATTTCCATAACATTCTAATGGAAATAGGAGTCTAGAATACTTTATTGTTGAAATGTCTCTAATGGTATGACCAGACAAGGAGAAAGGTTCACATCTGATTGCACTGGAAATTGTTTCTTTGCTGAGACCAATCTCCCTTAAAGTGACACTTTCATCCAGCACGGCCTCAAAATGTAGCAGCCAAAAAGGTCCAGATTAGGCATGGATCAGCATCAGGCAGGTTCATGATCTCACAGACATTATGAGATCGCTGGGAAATAGCTTGCACCAAACCATGCCACAAGCAGGCCAAAATGCGAGTAATTTCCGTATTAGATTTTATCTGAGTCAAGACTATACTCCTTACTTTTTAAAAAAGTAGCATTTTAATAAATGCTAAATCAGAGAAGGTACTTTATCTAAAAAAAGTTGGTTTTTAAATCAACATGTACATGTTACGATTTTAATTTAACAAAAAAGCTCTTAGATTTTTCTTGACAATTAAGTGAAGAGAGTGTTGGACTTTTATGTACAGCCTTGCACTTTTCAGGGCTGGGCTGTCTTCTACAGATGGACAAGAACTGCTGGTTTGACAGTTCATGCTGGTTCATTTTTTGGCCAACAAGGTGTTCAGCACTTCCCAGCCCCATGTCCTCTGGTGGGCACCCACTCAGAGGCAGTGCCCCAGCTTCCCTGCCTTGACTCCTCCGGGTACTGCCTCTGAGTGGGCACCTGTTGAAGGAGACAGGGCTGGGAAGCACTGAACACCTGTTCGGCTCAAAAATGAACTAGCATTTCATGCCCATATCTATCTAACTAGCACTAGTATTGTTCCTTCCAGCTTCTGAAATTTAAAGATAGCCCACCTCTCTGCTGAGTATTCTATCCCTCTCTTTCTTTGGTTGGTGGCAGTTGTTGTTTTACTGTTGGTCTGTTCACACAGTTGTTGTTTTACTGTCGGTAAAGAAAGCAGTATACACAAGTCTGCAATTTCAAGCAACTGGAATTAAAGTACTTTTTTATTCTTTCTCCTACAATTACCTCAGAGTGATTTACTGAGACTTCTGGGGAACTTGTAACTATTCTCCTCTGGAGATCTCGGTACTTTTACTGTGTAGCAAAAAGAGAACTTTACCAGAAATTCAAAACTTTGCAACAAAAGTAGTGCATGCTTATCAAAGGCACTACTCAAGGAAAAGGAAAAAAAATCTAAAGCTCTGTGCTCTTATTTGATCCACTTGCAGTGCAGACAGCCTTGAGTAGACCTATAAAGCCCTATATAGCTTGAGTCTTGGCAACCTGAAGGTTTTTGTCTCCTTATATATGAGCCTGCCAAGGTCTTAAGATCCTCAGGAGAGGCCTTTTGCTCTGTCTCACTACCGTCACAAGCAAGGTAGCTGAGGATAGGAAAGAACCTTCTAGTGACTGCTCCCAGTCTATGGAACTCCTTTCTCAAGAAGGCTAGGTTGGCCCCTTCCTTGATGTCCTCCTGGTAATGGTCAAAGACTTTCTGTCTAGACATGCTATTTGCAATGACTGACTGATGAAGGAGAGGCTTTAATTATTTTTATCATCTTTGGCCATTGATCAGAAATTTTTAATGGTGAGTGTTGTTTTGCTGCTCTTGTTGTTTCTAAATGGCTTGAATTGGCTTTAAATGGCTTCCAACTACTGTACATTGATTATCTATTTTATTCTGACAATTCATGTAATATAATTTTAATGTTGTAGGTTATTGTGTTTTTTAGCTGACTCTGGTTTTCAGTGTATTCCTTGAATCCCACAAGGGGGAAAGGTGGGAGATAAGTGAAATAAATAAATATATGCATGCACACACAAACAAAGGGCCTGCCACCACCTGCTGCCACCACCTGCTGTCGCTGCCAACAATGTGCCTGCTGCCGCCATCACCCACCACTACCACCTTCAAAGGCAGCAGGCCCGACTTCCCTTCCAGGAGCTGAGCTGCTGCCTCTGCCCACACATGTGCCAGCCAGTTGATGTGCTGGTGCATGTGTAGAGATGGTGGACAGATTCTACAAATGAAAGCTGGCTTGCTATCTCTGTGCATACATTGGCCGATCAGCTGGAGGAACTGGGCAGCGGGGGTGGGCAGTGGAGGAGGGCCCATAGAGATACAACAATGCGACTTAGACAGATGGGTCCCAGTTGCAAGTGAAATCACGAGTCCCTCCAAAAACCCCTAAGTCGCGTCCAAATCAAGTTGTTAGTGTGACTTAAGTCAGAGTCAACAGCAACTTGTGACTTGTGACCAGCGAGTCTCCATCCCTGGCAATTTCTAATGGACACAAAGAGCTAAGCTTCCCAGGAAGCATCTGAAGAAGTGAACTACTGTCCATGAAAGCCACAAAAGGTCTTTAAGATGCCACAGGACTCTTTATTGTTTTTTGCTGCAACAAACTAACAAGGCTACCCCCTTGAAGAATAAGAACTTAGGAATCTGAATTACACTAAACCATATAATTGATATTCTTGCTAGATAAAGCAAAAGACATTAATAAGAAGAAAATATGAATGCAGGATGCTGACTCATATTGAGTTAAACAACTGGCCCGTTTAGCTCATCT